ATTCATATACATATATTTATGTATTATATACATATATAATTTAAATAATATATTTTTTATTTTAGGTCGCTATTTTGTCAGTAAGAAGCAGAGAAACATTACAAAAAAATCACCTTTGCCAGACGAATAGATTCCGCTGTAGCGTTAATAATTTGTTGGGCTTCTTCAACGTTTTTCCTATCGATGAACACTGTTCCCCAAAGCCAAGTCGCGAGACCAAATGGTCCAAGGTACATAATCTCTTTTTTAGAAATTACAGTGCAATTCTCCATCGCTAGCCACAATTCACCTAAAACTGTATTGACCAATTTTATTATACATATCTCTATCATTCTCTTGATAAAAGATATACAAGCCTTGGGTTCGCGCAACATTATTTTCTTAAGTTTATCAAAAAAATTTTTTTCTTAATCTAACGAAACAAATTTAAAATAATTGCAATAACCGATCGTAGTTACCACAAAGATCTAGTGAACTCTGATGATTGATGAGCACGACACAGCCCGAGTCTTTGATGATATTCTCTTTACCACGAAAACGGAATTTGATTCCAATGATCTTCGCTATTCTTACTACACATCTGGCTGGCATTCTGAAAGATTTCGTTTCATATATATATATTTCATATTTATATTTATATTTTATATTTATATTTCATATTTATATTTATATTATATATTTCAGGCCCAAGGATTTGATTTTATTTACACATTTGGAAACTTACAGTGCATTTTTCCAACTACCGATTCGGAACAGCATGAACGGTATCCATAATCCTGCGGCTAACGCGCTGCCTACTATGAAGAAGGTGAACTTCGCTCGATATCTTACTTTCTCACTCAAGGCACAAAGCATCACAAAGAGAAATATCAGGGCGATGCCGCTCGTTGTATAGACGCCGCACAGAACTCTGATATCGTGCAAAATTAATTACATCAATTGTGCATTAAATTTGTGTGACATAAAATTTAAAAATCAAAATTAGAATTCACAAAGAAAGAAATAAAGTTATAAAAAAATTAAATCTAAATAAAATGAAATTTATATTAAGTTGTTCTTTATTCATAACTATAGAAAAATGAATGTTTTATTTTTAAAAAGTTTGCCTCAAAAGAACCACGTTCGTTTTTTTTCAGGTCTATACATGTAAGAACTCATGTGCATCGTTGCGCACTTTGCTATAATTTTACTAGTGGTCTCTCTCTGTCTCTCTCTCTCTTTCTCCCTCCGTCTCTCCCTCTTTTTTTCTCGCTCTATCTCTCTTTATGGTTAATTAAAAGGGTTTATAAAAAGACGGATGCTTTAGCTAGTTAAAAGACACCTTTAATAATTGTAATATTAAGGCAAGATTCTGCGTATTATTACTGTCACATTTTTGATATAAATATTCTTAAAATATTCCATATATTTTGTAATTACGCTGAGGATGGTCTAAAAAAAGGGACCGAAACGTACGCTTTTTGTGATTTTATCACGTAGTCAAAATATCAATGTAATTTGATTGTAATAAAACATATACACACAAATTACCGCGCTGGCTCTTGATTGCCTTTTATTTCCTTCGTATGATTTATTTAGTTACATTTATAAAAAAAGAATATTTATTTTCTTTGCTTATATACCTGAATAAAATCTCTTTAATTTGCCATCTAAAAAGTAGTACTTTGACACAGCAACAGGTTGAATCGGCATTTGAGATTCAATTGCGACATGAAAAGCGCCTTTCTTGAAGGGAAGTAACGAATTACCCGAATGTCGGTGTCCTTCGGGAAATAGAAGAAGTCTCCGCTAGAAAATTCAACCAAAATATCAATATATTTTTGTGATGTATATTTATCATTCTCTTGATAAAAGATATACAAGCCTTGGGTTCGCGCAACATTATTTTCTTAAGTTTATCAAAAAAATTTTTTTCTTAATCTAACGAAACAAATTTAAAATAATTGCAATAACCGATCGTAGTTACCACAAAGATCTAGTGAACTCTGATGATTGATGAGCACGACACAGCCCGAGTCTTTGATGATATTCTCTTTACCACGAAAACGGAATTTGATTCCAATGATCTTCGCTATTCTTACTACACATCTGGCTGGCATTCTGAAAGATTTCGTTTCATATATATATATTTCATATTTATATTTATATTTTATATTTATATTTCATATTTATATTTATATTATATATTTCAGGCCCAAGGATTTGATTTTATTTACACATTTGGAAACTTACAGTGCATTTTTCCAACTACCGATTCGGAACAGCATGAACGGTATCCATAATCCTGCGGCTAACGCGCTGCCTACTATGAAGAAGGTGAACTTCGCTCGATATCTTACTTTCTCACTCAAGGCACAAAGCATCACAAAGAGAAATATCAGGGCGATGCCGCTCGTTGTATAGACGCCGCACAGAACTCTGATATCGTGCAAAATTAATTACATCAATTGTGCATTAAATTTGTGTGACATAAAATTTAAAAATCAAAATTAGAATTCACAAAGAAAGAAATAAAGTTATAAAAAAATTAAATCTAAATAAAATGAAATTTATATTAAGTTGTTCTTTATTCATAACTATAGAAAAATGAATGTTTTATTTTTAAAAAGTTTGCCTCAAAAGAACCACGTTCGTTTTTTTTCAGGTCTATACATGTAAGAACTCATGTGCATCGTTGCGCACTTTGCTATAATTTTACTAGTGGTCTCTCTCTGTCTCTCTCTCTCTTTCTCCCTCCGTCTCTCCCTCTTTTTTTCTCGCTCTATCTCTCTTTATGGTTAATTAAAAGGGTTTATAAAAAGACGGATGCTTTAGCTAGTTAAAAGACACCTTTAATAATTGTAATATTAAGGCAAGATAATACATAAGAAATATTTTTATTGTTTTCTTTTTACAATATACGAATCTCTTTTTTCTCTCTCCTTAGTGATTCGTCTACGCACATTTATAGTTGCAAGGTTACTATTATTCTGTATATGACTATTATTTTTCCAATTTGTTCGCAACAATTTAAGTTGTCCACAAATAATGTTCCATAACACAAAGGCTATCAGAATTGATTATTACGTAAACTTCTTCTATGTATGCATAATATCATTGCATATAAATTGTCGGATCTAAAATCTTAGTTTTGTGCAGAATACTCTTATAAAATACACAACTTCTGATAATTAAAATAAAAGAAATAGATAGAAAAGATATATGAATATTAATATACAATATTTAATATTTAAGAATAAAAGCTGGAAACATATAATTTTAATCATCCTTATTTCCTCTCCTATTTAATTTCTATTTTGTTTAATTAAATATATTTTAAATATAGGTTTACAGACACACACAGAGTCAATATTACTCGATATATTTTTTCGAAAATTAATTATCAAGATATAAAACTGGCATTTTTTTTACACTATGTTTTACATAGCATACAAAATAGCATACAGAAAACATTGAAATGAATAATTTATGATTAGCATTGTGATCTACGTTAGATCCGAAAACTAACTTTTGATTAATATACATCATCGATGTTATTATCATCGACAATGCAATCACGCAGGCAATCATTAAGATGATAAAGCAGTGTTTTTAAATAGGTTTAAAGTTCTTTTTTTTTTTTTACCAAGTTTCTTAGCCATTGTTCCTTAAATATTGTCGAAGGAGGCTCTCATCAGACAGACGTAATCTTTAATTAGACGTCGCGAATATATGAACTTCGTACTTTGTATCTTTGCATTGTCAAGAGACGAAAAAGAACATATGTATTACAAATATACAAATAAGCAGATGCGTAATTTTTTACACACGAATATATAAGAAAATATGAAATTGAGAAATTGTTTGCATATAAAAACGTAATGCATATGCACAATCACGTTAGTTTCATAATTTCTCTTTCACAATATAAATCATTTAATTTTATAAGAAAATAATTAAAAATAAAAAAAAAGATTTTGTTTGCAAGATTTTAAGAATTTTAATAATAGCATAATACGTACCTGTTTTTTTCAAATTTAATTATTTTCAAAATATCGGACTATATTTATATATTAAATAAATATAAATTATATGTAATATCGTAGTAATGTTATTATATAATATTATTACGATATAGTAACATCATTTATTTTATATAAATTTTATATTTCTTTGATTTTGAATAAATCATATAGGTTGTAAATTACTAGACAAAAGAAACTAGAATTTAATAATTTGAATTGTTAGACAGCAAGTTGTAGTATTTCACGCAAAAAATAATAATTATGTGACAGATAAAATCTTAAATTGATAAAATTCATATTATTTGTAAATAAATTTTATTACATTATATCTTATTATATGAATCTCGAAAAATATTAATAAGTTTTATTTTTTTAACAACGTATTTATATTATTTGTAAAAAATAAAGTTGTAATTTCCATTCTTCAACATAAACGGTTGTTCTGGAAATTATTGTTACAATGTGTACAAATAATAAGAATCAATTATTGTTATAACTTCTACAAACTGTACGTCCGATAATATTAACTCTTATTGTGTGTTTTGTGAAGATATGCAAGAAAATAAAAATTCTTTAATAAGGAATTGTATTTTTCAATTCTTACGATAGCGTCAATCATACAATACTGCTACCGACAATAAATATAATACTGCTCTTTTAGTTACATAGGGTCAGATAACTTGCATATTGCAAAGTAAGTAACTCATTTCCATAATATTACAATATCATCTCCATTGTAATATCATTTCGATTGCATTCCGCTTTGTCATCAAACTTTGTAATTTTGCTCATATTCAAGATAAGATTATAATTTGCAGCAAGATTTCTATTAGAAAATTAATATCAAAAATAAATTTTATAAACCAACTAATACTATTTAATACTAAATTTCATTATTAATATTTATAAGAGTAAAACTATTTTTTCATACCATAAAAAAAAATAACTTAAATTTTTAAGTTGTATATTTTTTTCGATATATTCCATTTTTCATAAATTTATATTTTAAATTGATCGATAAATATCAATTGTATGTATATGTAAACAATTTCAAATTATTTAAACTAAATACTAAAATGAGAGAAAATGCAAGATATTGGGGGGAGGGGTATAAAATCTAATAAAATAATTTTATATTCTGCTTATAAAACGTATACCAATTTTACAATGTGTGTGTCATAAATACAACACACACAGATAAAAACAACTAAATACTACGAAATAAATACAATGAATTATCTCTTAAGTAAAGAGAGAGATAATGAGAGATGAAAGATTAATTATTTCTTGAAATATTATTCATTGTAATAATAATAATAATAATTATTATTATTATTATTATTATTATATATATATATATATATTTTATAGCTTAAATTTTCGATTTGTAATGTGAAGCAAATAAATAATTATCACAGATGTGTCATGCGGATCATCCGATCGTACTAGAGGTCAAAATTCCTCTTGACCGTTACTGGAGTCCTTTACTCTTTCAGTTGACGAACGAGTCAATTCATTCGTTAAAGCTTAAACGATTTCATTCAGTAAGTTTCAATTTGACTGGAATTGTCAATATAATATCTTGAGAAATCTTAACTTTTTAATTCATTATAGTTTGTGTTTTTTATATTAATAAATATGGAACAAAATAAATATGGAACATTATTCTATCGATTCGATTTCTGTTATTTAATGCGTTGAATGTAAAATAAATGAAGTTCTTAAGATAATATTTCCGATATTATCTTGCTACTTCATAACAGATAATTCATTTCATGAGTCAACGCATTAACACGTAAAACATATGCTCGTAAAGAGTATAAAGTACAACATATACTACATGTGGAGAGAAATGAGCAACATAGTCCGATCGACACTCAAGGAACATAGTCAGATCGTGATTCTATACATAATTGAAATATGTACTTACACCAGTGGAGATAACACACGAATAACTTGAGCATCGATAATAACGTTACATACAAATATTCAATCTAATAGATTGATAAAAGTTTCTTTTCCTTTTAAAATATATAATTTTCATTATATCACTATTAGTTCTATTAATAAAGATACATAAATAACATGTCTATCGCAATCTGATAAAAATAAATTCGTGTTTTCAACTTTATGAAAGCTATAAATTCTACATGTTTTTCTGCGATGCACAAGATTGCGCATTGTGCAGAAATTATATTTATTTTCCATTATAATAATAATAAGATTTTATGTTAACGAAAGAATAATAATATATAATAAGTGCAATTCCAAGTAAATTCTTATTTTAGAAACGTATTACATATATATCTGTACTATATAGATAATAGTAATGAAGGAAAACGTGTTCGTAGAAAATAGAGAAAATCAATAATAGATAATAGAAAATTACAATAGATTAGAGAAAGTTCTACTTTCTTATGTATGTATGTCACTATGTGTATATGTAAATGTGAGACTGAAAACTCGTAAATTTAACACAATACACATTTTTTACTAGATCTCATAAATTATCCTCCCTTGTCAATTTGAATAAATTGAACTTATTAATCATCTATTTAATTATTTATTTATATTTAATTGTTATTAAATAAATAAATTATTATTTGTTTGTCATAAATATAAAATTCAAACATAACAAATTTCAAATATAATATAATAAGTAACTAATTAAAAATATTTATTTATGTTTAATTTAGATATTAATAAGGAAAAAAAATATTATTTGATATAAGACATCTATATAAATATATGAATAGTTCAAGGTTAGATGGGCATGAAAATGCTAATTTCTTTCTTAGTGAAAATTTTATTTACTCTAAAAAACTAATTTTAAATAAAATTTAATAAAACTGAAGATTCTGTAACAAGCTACAAATATGTTTCGATTTATACGACAAAAATCTTTCACACTTCTGTGATTAAAAAAAAAAAAAACAATTACCTTTAAGTTTTCCCAAATATTTTATTTCATATAATTATACCGCTCGTATCATAAAGCACCGATTTATTCGTAATTATCTATACTTATAATCCTATCATATTAATGAATGTAAATATTATCTGTAACAACTTATTGCGTACAACGTTAAATGAAAATGAATGTTTCAATGAAGGGAATTCATTGCTATTTACCTTGATTCATTTGCCTGATTTACTTCTTTCATTTCGTGTATGATTTGTGTACTACACATGGTTCGTGTAGTCTATGCGTGTCCTTATTCTTAATTTTTTCATTCGATAAACGTCAATAACGATCGCGTTAATAATAACCGCAGCGCGTATACACTATTTTATTTTAATTTACTCTGTATTTAATGTATTCGGGACAAAATTAGCCGAAGAAAGAACAATAATATCACCGTGTCGATTACTTACGTCTTGAACATGATGTTGTTCAGGTACGTAGCGTTCACCGCGATTGATCAAAAACAACTGTCAAATACCAACAACCGTTGCCTCGCTATAGTGACCTATAGCACTACTATAACCATGGCACGTGGTCCATCGAACGATACATCGAATGATGAGTCGACACATCTCGTAAATCTTCGGTAGTTTCCGCCTTTTGAAAAACATCGTCAATGGTTGTTATATACAGTTGATATTCTCCAATCAATAATCTACAGAAGAAAAAAAAGAAGAAATAAAATTAAGTGTCCTATATAATGACAGATATTTTTACAAAAAAAAGGAGAACTCTATAGTTATTTTTTTCGAAACAAAATAATTATACATACATATATATATATATATGTATAATTATTAATAAAATAATAATCATAATACAAAATAAGGTCAATTTATGCAAATTAAACAATTACAAATAATTAAAAATATGAATAATAATTCAATTTTCAATAAAATAATTCATGTTTGATTCTCGTCGGACATAATTTATAATCTTTCCTCAACAGAAATATTATTTTTATGTGTACGCAACTTCTAATCAAACGCTTCGAAGCATTTCTAGCGTCTTCCCGACCGCAGCGAGGATGCCGGACCGTTCTGTTTTACCGACCATAATAATCAATTATTATGGCCGGTAAAACAGGACGGTCCGGCATCACCTTAAGCGTAACTTGCTATCGACGGTTTTCGGTATCGTTAACTAGCGACAGCCAATGGCAAGGACAATCCTAGTGAAAAGCGCAATTCTCATAGACTATCGCTCGCTAACGACAACGATAATCGTCGCTAAGACGTTAGAGAATCCTGCTTCACATCTATTATATGTTTGTACTTATATATGTTTGTATACGTAATTCATTCCAGCCATTCGTTTCCAGCTGCGGATTTGTTTATTATATTTTTGTGATAGATAAATGGTGATAATAAATATATGCAGTTGATGTTGAATATAAAAATAAAAATTATATACAAGAAAGAGATGGCCGGTTTGCATTTAATAAAAACATACTCTTCCGACTCGGACGAAGATAAGCATGATGAAGAGAAGGAAGATGACGATAAAATTGTAAACAAGTATATATAAATTATATATTTATTATTCTACATTATTTAGTGTCATTTAAATCTTGCCTGTTCCTAAAAGTTTCATTCTTGGTTTAGTGAAAAAAAAAAAAGAAATAACGTATCTATTTTTCAAGTATCCCATATATAACCCTTGATATATATATTTTAGACAAACTAAGCTAGCCTTACCAGCAAGTATTTTGTCGTTGAAAGGAGTTGCATATCATGAAGAAGTGATTGACGACCCATCGGATCATGATGGACGGATACGAAGCTTCCAACACGAACGTGGTAACTGGGCAACTTTGATTTACATAGATTGTAAGTATTTTATTTTCCACACATAAGATCGATATTAATCATGACAAATCAGGAGATAAATGTACTTAATCTTTTCTGAATGGTTTTGTAAATTATTATATGTTATGATCGATTAGATTCTTTCAAATGAAGTATAGAAAGAACTTAAATTTATTTCAGATACTACCAGCGATTGCCTTTATACCTGGATGAAATCTATATTGAATGAATTGCCAGTCCAAGGCGAGATTATTTCTAGTCTTCATATTAGTCTAAGTCGTACTTTGGTCCTAAAGTTTCATTGGATTGAATCATTTGTGGAGGGTCTAAAATTATTATGTCGTGGATTCCACCAGATTGTCATACAACTCACAGATGTGAAAGTATACTGCAATGAGGAAAGAACTCGCACATTCCTTGGAATTTACTGTCAAGATGAGGATGGTACATTGAAGCGCCTAACAGAAGCTATTGACTGTTTACTAGCTGAATATCAATTGCCATTGTTTTATAAGGTATATAAAATAACATCTCCGCTTTTTAAAATCAAATATCACAGATAAATACACACATAATACAAGACAAACTTTATTTAATTTTATTAACTTATATTTATAAGACTTCTGATCTCTCACTGCAAACATGTTGGAGGGAAAAAAATTATGTGAATTTCTTGCACTATGAAATAAATTACTTTTTTTTTTGCATACCATTCGTGTTTATGATTAAATTGGTAAAATATATGCCAAAAATTCTTTGGTTTGTAAATTCGTAAATCTTTATCAATTGTGTGTTCTAAAGTTTATTTATTTTTATTGAAAATATATAAGATTGATGGATTGAATTACATATTATTAATACAGGATAGCTGAGAAAGCTATAATGGCATATTTTATAATGAAAAAAGTAACATATTTGAACATATAATGCATGAAACAAATTTTATCATTTTTGACTAGGGAAAGATCAGTAATTGGTTCATGAATTTATATATACATATATTCATATTTTTCACACAGGATATTTCATACCACATCAGCTTCTTCTGGTGTCTCGGAGACAAGCAAATGTATTTGAAAAAAATTCTGCCCTCTCTTACGTGTAGTTTAAACAAATTTTTGGCAGAAAATGTGGAAGATACATATGTACACGTCAAGGAGATACAATGCAAAATTGGGAATAAATGTTATTCCTTTGAACTGAAATAAATTATCTCTTTAAAACCTATTTTAGATTATACAACGTAACCTATTATATGTAAATAAAGGTAAATTATCATTTAATCGTTTTTTTCGATGTATTTTCTCATTTTATGTGATATGCTCGGAATCAACCAGTCATCAAATAAAAAACAACGGACTTGTTTATTTTCCAGAAGCTATCTCGATAAATCTTTCCAATGGAAGTAGGAGAGGGCGAGAATAAAACTTGCTCGCTCGAGAAATGATGGAAATGATCGTAAAACAAAGTAAGGAGATACTGCATATCGATATTTTTGATAGAGATAGAGAGAATTCTAAAATTCTATTTTTTATATAACAAATACTAGTTTATTTTACAAATATTGTGTCGTATAAAAATTATATTTTCTTACGAGATTATAAATTATTTTATTTGAAAAATATACTTATAAAAATTTTTTCATATAAATATATATATATATACATATGTATATATGTGTATATATATGCTAGCGCACGTGTATGATATATACAAATATGTACAAACTTATCATCATATATAGATAAATACAAATTTATCTCAATATTGTATAAAAATTAGACTTTAAAATCATTTTCGGCAAAAGGTTTTATTGGTTTAAAGATTGCTAAGTTGTGAGGCAATTTCGTTACAATACCTGCTCCGCGCCACAGTTTAATCCACAAATCACATAAATTAGGTTCCATGTTAGCCAGTAACGTACAAACTTCGGGATTTTGTATAATTAATTCCTTCTCCGGACTACTCACAATATTTTTACAACCACTAACATCGATATAAGTTAACGTAGGTTGACGATTCAACAATACATTTATAGATGATACAGTTACATTCGTGTTCCCGCGAAGTATTAATTTCAAGAGTTTAGGCAAGTGTGCTAGAATAATCTTTATATCGGAGTCTGTTATGTCACAGAATGAGAGATCTAGCAATTCCAAGTTTGGTAATAGAATTGTACCTGCGACTAAACTTGAGACGAATTTGTCGGAGCAAGTGGTATTGGATAGATTCAAATCGAGTAATTGCTTATTCAAAAAATAAATCATCGCGTCACGATTTAATTTATTCCATGAAATATCGCAATTCGTCAGATTAGGATTGTCGAACGGAAGGTGAAAATCTTTCAGTCTGCAGTAACGTAAATTGAGAGTCCGCAAGTATCTCAGAGATACGATCAAGTCTCTGAGAATGTCGCAACTCTCCGAACTTAATGGATTGTAACTTAGATCGAGGACTCTCAATTGAGGCGGTAACGAGCTTATTTGACGCAGACAAGCGAAGTCGATGTCGCAGCCTTTTAAATAGAGTTCCTGCAGAGACAAGAGATTCGAAAGACACCGGTGCAAGTGTGTTCCCACCGTTCCCAATACAGTGCCCGACAATTGTAATAGTGTAATATTCCTCTCGTATTTCAAAGTCTTCAACAACGGTACAATCAGTTCTTTAGCGATATCATCGGGTCTCGTGCGAAGTATGGACGTATTTTCGCAAGATTTCAAACAGCTTAGCATATTCTCGCGGGGACTCGAATCATGAATACGACAGATGGTCTTGTATCGCTCGACAATGAACGGTATTTTTAGTTCACCTATCTCGCATTCTAGTCTAGCGTTATCCTCGACCGCAATTTTCAAAATGCTTTCTTTCGTTACTGTTACGTTCCCGTTTATCGGCCGTAACAGCAGTTTGGCTGTACAAGCGGTTTCGCGGAAGAACATGGATTCAGCAGCAGTTGTGATGCACGTGAGAAACTCTTTCTCTTCTTCGTAAACTGCCACTTTTAGGTCGAACGCGTCTTCCTTAACAAATATACGTAAATGTATATATTCTGCATCCTGTTGTTGTTCAAAAGCTGTCGGGGTACGCGAGGATGATTGTAATTCATGAATCATCGGAGACGGTGAACGAGACACGATAAATCCATTCGATATCAAAGAAGTCTGTCGTTTTCTCTTAACCCTCTTGGATTCTTCAGATAATTGAATAATTTTAGTAGTAGCGTTATCTTCATCATTGTCTTCAGCGCTGTCTTCATCGCTTATGTTTAAATACTCTTCATTTTGAAGCGTACAATTTAGCTTTAATTTCTTCGTAGTGCTCTCTATATCTTCATTAGACTTTCTTTTGCCTGTGGCAATGTAATTATATGACATGGATTTTTTCTTCGTTGTACTCCCGATATCATCCTCCAGCCAGTCGTCAATGAGAACTTGTTCTTCACTCACTAGAGGTGCGTCATTACCGCCTTTGAATGTGACAACCGTGTTAGTTTTGTTGAAAGACCTTAGATTTGCTATCGTTCTTTTATAGTATTCACCGGCAGATATCTTTTCTACCTCAGACTCTTTATCCGGAGATTGCACAGATTCTTTATCCGATGTCTGAGCGTTGTCGGATCTCTTTTGCTTTTTCTTTACTGGAATAAAGGTGGAAAACTTCTTACATATCATGTCGTACTCTACTAAATCTTCAGGACTTAATTCTCCTACCCGATCTTTCCAATCTTCTAAACAATCTAATACCGTGTCGCCGCCGTGAGTTTTTAGCGTCACGTTCGCACCGTGTTGTATCAACAGTTGCATCATTGAAAAATGTCCGCAACACGCGGCATCGTGAAGTGGTGTCACGCCTTTGCAGGACACGCCACCCGGATCGTTGACGTTCGCGCCATGTCTCAAGAGCAATTCTGCGATATCCACGTAACCATGATTCGCAGCTTCGTGGAGAGGGGACCAACCGCAGTGATCTCTAACGTTCGTAGAGTGACCAGACGATAACAGTTTCTCGACGGTACTGATGTCACCATTAATGCACGCTACATGTAATTGCGTTTCGCCCTTTGCGTTCCTCTTGATCGTTCCCGTCCTCGTTCTCCTCTTAGGTGTTGTCTTGACATTTTCTTCGTCTTCGAGATCGGATAGTTCCTCTAAACAAATGTCCGCGCCAATCTTATCGCTTTCCTCGGACACCGCTTCGCTTTCCGTATCGCTCGGTGCTTCATTCGATGTTAATCCTGCTTTCTGTCTCGTATCCTTTGCTTCATCAAACTGGTTTGCGCTTTCCAAGTAATTGACGAGTTCTCTTGCAACGGATCTTTGCAGCTTAATATTATCGCTTTCATTCGCCGAAGTCAACGCCAAAGTGTAACACTCCCGTATTTCTATGTCGGGAGCATTTGCCGCTATTAACAGATCTGCTAGAAACAGCGCCGATCTACATTTCTCTCGAGGATTAGCGCAGAGTTCGAGTTCCCTTTGTGCGAAAGGTAGCGCTTCCTTATATCGCCCTGCATCTTTGAGCGTTTGAACTAGACTTACTAAGGCAATACTTACTTGATCGCCCGTTTTCTCCGCGCAAGTCAGCATATGTCGATAATATTCCGCACCTTTATCGAAGCATTGCGCAGCAACCGCCGCATCGCCCAAGGTTTCGTACAATTTTTGCTTAACTTGGATATCAGTTTCGACAAGAAGATCATTTTCCGCTCGACACAGAGTCACAATAATCCTTAAATATTTCTCCACTTGATATTGTATGTCCTTTGGCAATCCTTTACTTGTATACAGGGAAATCAATATTTTACGTGTTTCAATCCACTTTCCGGTTCGCATAAATAGTTCAGCCTTTGATACTTTTGCTTCGGTTTTCAGGTGTACATCTTGCACAGTGGCTGCAGTTTCGATATAAGTCAACGCCAGCTCGTGATTGCCTTGTCGTTCATATATAGCTGCCAAAGAAATACACGTTCGATGTAAATCTTCCTGAAAATTGTTTGATACACACAGCTCAGTTGCTTGTTCAATCAGATTGATCGCCTGTTGCGTCTCCTTTTGCGCTTCCAATGTTAATCCCAAGTTGAGCAAAAGTCTCGCACGCATCAGCGTTCTCTCCTGCAGCTTGATTTCGTTTCCTGTTAATTTATCACACAATTCCATGCTGTTCACATAAGCCAGTTTCGCATTTACCAAAGCCTCATCGCGTTTCTGCGAATGATCAGTTAAGCTTTCGGCCAAGCAAAAATAAGTTCTACCCAGGGTGGCAAATGCACGTTGTTCTTCTATCAAGTTTTTTATATCCTTGGCGCCTTCCAAATGTAGATTCTGGTGTATTAGAGCTCGTTCGTAATCTCCCCAGCTTGCATGAACCTCTCCAATCATTCTGTGTGCTATCGCACAATTCAACTTGTCCTGCAATTTTTCGCAGATACTCAACTGTTCCGTATATTCTTGCAAAGCTTCCGTTGGTTGCTCATTTTCAAAGTACATATCCCCGAGATCCTTCGTGATTTCGGCCAGCTGTTGGAAATTGTTGTCTCGCTTGGCATGTTGTTTTCTCTTGATGAGTTTATCGATGTTCATTTTATTTAAATTTTATATATATACGTAGATAAACGATATGTCTTATTTATCATCATCGAGGCCCTACAAAGTATAAAAACGATAGCGATAACAGCTCTTTGTTATAGATAGATAATATCGCGATACATATTTTGAATATCGATATCACTTGAAATTTTCATGAAAATATATTTATTCGATACCTTTTGATACATGTAACAAGATCCCAAAAATTTAACAATCGTTCTCGATATTGTAGAAAATTAAATAATTTTTTGAAAAAATGAGGTTAACATATCTGTTATTCCACGACATGAGCGTGCTTCTGATTTTGTTGCGTTCCAAAATTCGTCCCCATAGGCTGCGTTCAGAAATCCTACCCGTAGGGTAGAGTAGCATTTAATTGACCAATCAGAATAAAAGGGGCAAAGATTTCTTTGTCTTGATTGGTCGATCAAACGCTACTTTACCCCGCGGCTAAAGTTTTATTTTATCAATGAAATAGTTAAATCTTATGAAAGGACGTCCTGTATAGCTTCTGTTTAATCGTTTTTAAAAGTTATTTAGAAATTTTTGAAAAATTAATTTAAAATATGAAAGAAAAAAATTGCACACAAATTATATGAATTAATTAATTTATTTACATTACTACTTAACCTGTCTTCTGCGACATCCCGCCAAAACAGAAGTGCCTATCATATGTCATATACACGTGATTGTAATCATCAGCGTTATATCGCGAAAAAGGGAGCCCGCTAATAACATTTAACACTGAACAGTGACAGGCATCAAACGGCTAGTTTCGGTAATTTTTTTATCTTCCCTGCCCCAGGTTAACATATATCTTATCCCTTCTATAATATTTGTACTTTGCGGTTCATGATCTTTGCCGCGCGATTTATAAGATTTTATTCTGTGGGTTTTATCGATATAATATGTATGTTCTACGTGATTACTTCGTCCAACGAACGGAAATCCAAAAAAGAAATAATAATACAAGGTTTTTTTATGTCATTAGAACATGGGTGATACCGGTCACGCAGATATGTTGCCCACCGATACCACGCGATTGATGACCGATTCCGGCTTCAGCGAATTGCTGAGGTCAGCGGAGCAGATATCCGCAGCCGCCGAAGGAAATGATGATATGCCGCATGTCGACAGAAATCTCCAACAGATATTAGAGGCTTCTAACGAGCTGTGGTCTCGTGTCACGCAAACCACCACCCAGGACAATGAAGCTCAAGCGTGAGTCTATTTCAAGATCTCATATAATTCGTGATTTTGTGTCAATTTTGTCTATATGTGCCTTATGTGTAATATAATTTCTATATTTTCGTTAATGTATCTGTAAAATAAATGTTCCAGCCACGTGTTACTAGGTTCCCGAGGGATTGACTTGTCTCAAATCTCACAGAAGTTAAACTCGCTTAGTGCAAGACGCACGTTTGAACCACTAGATCCCATTGCAGACACTGATATTGTCAGTTATCTTAGAAATGAAAAGGAAAATGCGATTCTATCCATCATTGAACAGGTTCATAAGGATGTATGTATATGTAAAAATAATTATTAAAATATTTATATATTTATTTGTATAAAATAAAAAGATAGATATTAAATCTATATTTTAGACATTTGAGCTTACTAGAGCTCAACAAATGGAACATATGCTGGGTGAATGGAAGCAAATGCGTTTTGAGATAATAAATGCCATGACTGCTCCATCCGGAGAGCTTGTGGACTTACGTGGAGCACCACAGCGTACGAAACTAGGAGGTTCGATGATTAGTGGTCTCTCTAGCATAGAAGTTGCATACGTAAAAGAACTGCAAAATTATAACGATCATGTGCTTAGAGGTATAACACGGCCCAGTTTGTTTAATGTGTTCTGTAAAGCCTCCGAATCATTTAACGACAAGAAGATCGTAGATTTGTGGCAAATGGTGAAATGTATGGTTGATATTCCACCGACACCTAGAGGGGATCAAATTAAATCCAGAAGTAGTCCTGCAATTGAACAAAAAATTGTTTCACAAGCCAAAAAATATTTAGAAAATAGATATAGAGATTTCATGAATTCCATAATCAACGAGAATCTAGTGCAGGCGAAACGAGGCGGTATTCCAGGCACCATTCCTCTGGTCAAGAGTTTTGTGGGTGTCAAAGTACAAAATTTAAGGGATTTGGAGGATGTTATGGTCGAAGACAAGCCATTGTGGCCTCTGGTATATTACTGCATGCGGTCCGGAGACTATAAAGCCGCGCTGCAGTGTCTGAATCAATGCAGTACAGAATTCTTGGAATTTAAAACAGCTCTTGAGGAAGCTTGTGACGATCCGCAACATCATCCGAGTAGTCGTGCGGAGTCCATTCTGAAATTACATTATAGAAAGCAAGTACGATCCGTCAGCGACCTATACAAGAGAGCGGCGTATTGTGCATTGATCCCTTGTGAGCCGGATGACTTGCATTCCGAAGTGATAGCCACAGCCGACGATTATTTGTGGTTAAAGTTGTGTCAAGTGAGATATCAGGCAGACGTTGAAAATAAACTGACATTGGATTATTTACAGACTACTATCTCCGAAATATATGGTAATATTAATTTGAGGTACCTGATAGCTCTTTTTTACTTAAAGATTCAGACGTTTTAGTGGATTCAATTTGCAGGAGAAACTTATTATCACGCACATGAGCAACCATTTTTGTATTTCTCGATGCTATTTTTGACCGGACAGTTCGAAGGGGCAATAGAGTTTTTATCCACCGGCGCTGGAGCGAGGCATTTAGCGCACGCGGTTCATTTAGCAGCTGCTATGCATGAACACAATTTATTGGCTGTCAGTCAAAGTGTCTTAGCGCCTTTGATTAGCGTAGATCCCGCCGATAAACCGCCAGCAAAAAGATTGAATTTTGCTAGATTGATATTGTTATACATTAAAAGATTTGAATTATCAGATCCAAAAGAAAGTCTTCATTATCTCTTTTTATTAAGGTAGTGATGCATTCTTAGTTGTTTATTATGTTAAATCAGTTAAATCAGTTATATTTTAAGTTTGTCATTACAATAATACTTTTTATTTTTAGATGTATGAAGGACCCGTACGATCGCAACATGTTCGCCGCGTCTGCCGCGGAAATGGTAGTGGATGCCTCTCCTGCAAATCGCGTTTTGTTAGTAGGGAAACTTGACAAAGATCGAAGAATTCCGGGTATTTTGGATCAATTCCAAATTAATACAGACGACGTGATAAATATTTGCGCCGAAACGTTGTACAGAAAAGGTCTGCTGGAAGATGCAGTCATGATGTACGATTTAGCTAGAAATCATGAGAAGGTTCTCAGTTTGATGTGCACACTCTTAACGCAAGTTGTCAGTCAGAAAGGATTGCCCGGTTCTCTCAGGTCACGATTACAAACCACAGCTATGGACATTGGTACAAGGTAAATTCACACATCTGTGACATAATAGATGGTTAACACATTTTTAAATTTAAACTTGTTATTTGTGTTGTAAATCTTTTCAGATATAAAGACATTGTAATTCAAGCACCCTCAGAAGTAGTGTCTTCATTCTATACTTTAAAAGATCTTATGGTTTTCTTTGATCAATTCCACAATGAGCAGTATCAAAGTGCACTTAGAGTAAGTAATTCTTTAATAGACAGCAAGAATAAATGTGTTATTTAGTATACTTTATAGTTAAAAAAAGATTTTTATAACGTGATATATTTTTTCTTTAGACAATTGCAGATTCGAAGATGTTGCCTCTTCATGTGAAGGAAGTCGATGAGAGAGTGAATGCTTTACGTCGTGTGTCGCCCGAAGTGGCTGGCACATTGGCCGATGTTCTTCTAGCTACCATGACGATACTGTATCGCCAGTATCAGAAATTGCGATCAGTAGAACCGGGAGATGAAATCGCGAGGGATCAGCAGCTATACGATCTCAGAGAACAAGCGCGAGCGTTAACCAGTTTTGCGGGAACCTTGCCATATCGTATGCCAAACGAGACCAACAGCAAACTTGTACAAATGGAAATTCTTATGCATTAAAATTGATAGTATACTATTAAGTGCTCCTTTGAATGTAATTCGAAAAGCTTCATCCTTTATCTGAATATTTAAAAATGTTTTGCATATATTTCTTAGCCAACATATTACTTAGAAAATTCGAGCATTTTTTTTATATTTTAATAAAAAAAATTTATTTTTTGTTTTTTAATTTCAAGTACAATAAAATACAATTGCACATATTTTCAAATTATGCATTATAATGGTCCATAAAAATAGAGAGGAAGATTTAATACTTCTAAAAATGTAATTTATATATATTATATATAAGTTGTTACTTTATATAATATAGATTATGCTAAAGGAGTCTATCAAATGCAGAAAAAGGCTAAGTAGGATATTTAAATTATTTTTGTACTTCTATTTGTAAAAAATACATGATATGATAAAGATTTTTGCAGATACAATCATTAATAAATATTGAACAATATGCATATATATTAATGTTTGACTTATATGTCACATTTGACATCACTTTTTCTAATATGTTCTATCTTTTATCTTGAAAGGCATCTTTTTTAATACTAAAATCATGTGCATTATCTTGGTGATTTATTGCAATCTTCTGCATTATAGAATTTTAAAGATGTAACAGCTATTCCACAGCTGAGATCTTCAACTTTACCTTCTTTTACCTATAAAGAACGTTTTATTACACACAGACAAAAGAAAAAGATTTTAAGTTATGTTACATACTGCTCTATAATCAAGAAACATTTCCTTAAAAGCCAAAAAGTCTGTTATCGTTGACAATACTTCAAAGACTTCACCTTCCAATTCTGCCTGTTTCTCACTGAATTTTATCATATACAAACATACAAAAATAAAAAATTTATTAGATAAAAGTTAATGGATTTATATTATGAGAAACTACATATTATAATTACTTTAATTGATGTAAAAGAATGTCTATTGTGAATTGTGGCATGACTTTTTTAAGATAATCCTCAATGTATTTCTCTACAGTTTTATTCTGAAACATATGTTAAGTGATATTTCAGAGAATATATTGTGGCAGTTTGAAGAATTTCAAGACTTTTACACGAGACTCACATATTCATTAAATATATTGGTATAAATTAATTTGTTGTCTTCCACTGGTTCAAAAACATTCCAGTACTTTTCTAAAAATCTTTGCTGAAGAGCTTGAAAGTCTTTCTCTGAAAGGCCAATACATCGTCAAATATATATACAATTTTAACGATTAACAATTGTTCATGTTTGTACGAATAATTTTGTACCTAATAACAAATCTTCGATATGTCCGATTACTTCGTCGAACGAACAGTGTTCTCCGTTTTTCGAATCTCGTTTCTCATCTTTTGGACTCGACAAACTCGTTTCATCTATTTGAAAAATTTATTTCAACATGTATAATGAAATAATTGTTACAGTATTTCTCGCGCGAACAATATGTATTATACTTGTCACGATATAAGATTTCACGAAATTAAGAAAATGTAATTTATATACGCGAACACAAACCCATGCTGTTTTCTTCTATTCTTGTTATCTTAGAAAAATAAGGCACAAATTTATATTATGAAATGAAACCTCCTCGACTATGTAAACTGACAGTTCCTGTTAAATTATAAATCAAGTTTATAGTCGTTGGAAACGACAGTTGATTAATCGATCGGTCTGCGAGGTTATATGTTAAATAGTGTACTTAGAAACAAATTATTGATAAATTTTCAAGGAACGTATTAATTTTATAATACACATATTTTAATATATTATACGTAGGGAGATTCAATATTAAATATATAATATCATTGCACTATGTATTCGTGGATGTATGTACATAGTAAATATATATCGAGAGAGCAAGTTATATGAAGTATTATATGAAGTACTACAAAAAGAAAATAGATGGAGACAAAGCCGCGTTTTTAAATTCAGTTATACATGAAATACTCTCTATAGGACGAGTATGTATAAGTGAAGACATAATGCTACATTTTTAATTTAGATTATTATACTAATACTGTTTATAATGAATAATGCATTTTGAAATTTACACAAGTTAAATCGCGCGAATATATCTATATGAAATACGATTTCTAGAATCGTCTCATTTTAACAGTCGTTAAAATTCGATTTATGACGCACTCAAGGTTAAGTTCTTTTTTAATAATTAATTAAATAACAATATATTTTTTAGAATACATTAGAATATCCTAATGAAATGAAACTATAAATAAAAGAATTTTATTATTATTTCTCATTTTGTAATTGCTTCTAGGTATAAGTATTTGTTAATTCAATTATTACAATACAATAACAAAGACTCTTTTAATAATACGTAGAGAAAATTTTTCTTCATCTAATTACTATAATAAGCTATAATACGCGCAACAATTTCACGCTTCGTAAAGTAACTTCATAAATAGCAAATCTTTATCGTTGTTGTATACCGGCACCAATATTTATGGAATTCATACAAACTCAAGCGAAACCGCTTACGTGCGTCACAGCATTTTGCAGTGACGCAAATAGAATCATAGAGTACGTCGAATTAAATTTCGACGTGAATGTTGTTGTTGACATATCGAGTCGGGAGAACGATTTCCAATTTATTCGTTATACACGAAAAAATGCAAAAAGCAATGGGAAATAATACATTTTACTTTTTCTCGTTACAACTTTAATAGCCAACGATAAAAAACGATACGCATCTTATGTCATTTTATATATCATTTCTCTTCCTTAATGAAAAATATTTGTAAATAAATGTATATCGATACATGCGCAAAGAATAATCTCTCTTTTTGATCACTTATAAAAGAGAAATGACGATAAATATTCGTTGCAAATAATTAATTATGAATAAATTATTTTACTGTATTATTAATTTGTATACTTTTAAAAATATTTGGCTATTCGTGAAAGAGTACAATTTGCTCAATAATAATTTTGTAAAGAGAAATTTCATTAGTTTTTTGAGATATTCCATATGACTGTAACATGATTTCCATTTCATTAGCGACAGAAGTATTTATATTATATTGTAATTATGAAGAAATGTCACTCGCAATATTATTAAATTAATATGAATTTATATTTTGTAATTTATTATATGTGTGTGTGTAAGATGTATAAATTTTTTGAAAAGCGTTTCCCGTGATATTTAGAAAAATAATTATCAAAATATATGTTAGTATATAAACTAGATTTATTTATATATTATTTATAACACAACAATTATTGCTGTATTTCAGTTATTTAAAGTATCAATTTGGATAGTATCCGATTTCTAATATGATTGTAGAATCAATATACATGCCAGAGACATTATTAGAATTTTAACTTTTTAATTTTATTATTTATATTACTAAAGAATTGGATACATATAAAATTTGTCAAACTGCCATATTATTGAACGCACAGAGCGATATTATTTAATAATCAATACATCCCCCAACAAATCTTGTTAACAGAATACCGCGGTTATCATGTATATCAAGTGTCAGCTTGATACTTGTTGGTACATTAATTAACTAAAAGCATTGCGCTAACGGCAACGACGCTAATCGAGCAATTACATCGACGAAAATCTCTCCATGTTGTATAAAACTCATCAATTTGTCTGTAAAGTTATTACGAACTTAGTTCGATGATTCAAAATACTGATAAGTCTCATTAATATACGATACGGAATATCGCAGCAGGAGTCGTCATCTCCTGTCGCGTGGGCAGCCTCTTTTAGAACTTACAAAGTAGTAGCAAATGCGGGGTGGTCACCATTAAAGAGATTGACAAGACAGCATATTTAAAAAATAAAAATAGAACATTTACGTAAGCTATTTCTCTTACCAGATTATAATAGACAGTATAACTTATTTGTATATATTGATTAATATACATATTTGAAACATTTCAGTTCATTGTATCATATATGAATCAGAAATAATTTCAAACATGTATCTTTCATTGAGAATTTTAGATAATTGAAATAATTATTTATATGAACAGTAAAATATTTCAGATTATTTAGACAAATTTGTAATTGTTATCTATTTTATATCGAAATGATTTAATTACACTACGTTGCAATGATATTTGTATATAAGCAGAGTTATAGAAAGTTTTCTTATCAGTACGCAGTAAAGTAAATATTTACTTCTGCAGCCTTAGTATTTGCCTTTTGCCGAAGCCACCTAATTTGAATACTTTGAGAGATACTATATACTTATTGAAAATAAATTTGAATAAACTCTTAATTGTGTATTAATAAATTAATAAATATATTACGCATTAAAACGCGTGCACAAATAGGGACACGTTGAAAATAATATTGAAATTAAATTATATATTTTAATTATTTCTATAAATTAATATTCAAGATCATGTTTAATTTATAAATCAGATAACGAGATGATTATTCTTGAAAAAAATGCGTATTTATTTTGCCTTTTCGTCTAATCATTTTACTTGCTGCACAATATTTATAATACACAATATCTGCTTATGTGAACATTATTGCAATTTAAAATATCTCTGACGGAGAACACAATTTTCAAAACTATTATTTCAGTTTATAATTTCAATTATTACGTCTAAAAAAAAAACATTTTTTACATATCTATCTCTCATGGAAAAAAATATACATTTTCAGATACTTTTTATTAAACGAATTTATTTAATGGCCCAGTTTATTTTGGAGGGTAAAAAAAATCGACAATAAAATTAAGTTCAGTATCCCAAAAATATTTTGCGGAATAAAACTAAACCAAGTTTTTTCATTTCAAATAATTACACGAAGAGCAGCATGTCACACCATCGAACCATGCATTTTCGAACACGCTACGCACAGAGACTCGTATATATATAAAAAAAAAAGAGAATAAATATTTAAAACAAAATATTAACGTACTGTTTAATCATCAATAAAAACATATGTAAAACGCCGACGCCAAAAAGATCAATATTTTTAATATTCTTCAAAAAAAATTCCTAAAAATCATAAATTTTTCATACTGTTAGAATAAACTGGGCCCTTAAGAAGGAATTGCATGGATCAATTACGTCAAAAGTTAATAAATCTAATACGTTTCGAGATTCATGAATTTGCAATTGCGTGCGCACACACGCAAACACACACGCACACATATACAAAGCACTTTTATAGCCTCTCAAAATAAAATTAATAATCTATTTATAAATTAAAATAAAAACATCTGTTTTGCTCTGTAAAATATAATTTAATCTCAAAATTGTAAATACTATTCTATGTCAAACTAACTCTTTTATAGTGACTGTATTATGAAAATTTGAGTAACCGTACACAAAAATCGATTAAAATAAAAATGTTAATTCTACGAGGCAAATTTTTACTTCAATTCATAAATTAATTTTTATAATTATATATTTTAAAAGGCTAAAATGTGCTTTGCGCAATATCAAATTCATGAATTTCGAAATGTATTACATTTATTAACTTTTGACGTAGCTGATTCTCCTGAAGTTCCTCCTTATTTATGTATATAAACGATTAAACTTAAATGTTTATATAATAATAATAATAACTCCTCAAATGTTTATGACAATGTGTATTTGAAATATGGCCGCTGTGCGGCTAGTAATTCGGGATACCGGCCGAGCGGCAATGTTCGGAGACGCTCGGCCGCGCTCGGCAATCTCCGTGGATCTCTGCGGGGGCAGAGGCCTCCCACCTTGTCGCGCAGTCTCGCACACTCCGCGCAGTATTCACACTCTCGCGAACGGCAGCGCACGTAGCGCAACGTCTCGGTCCTCCTTCGTCCTGTGAGTGATCTTGCCGGAGTTTGTAATATCGGTGTGTCGTAATAATAATAACCGGGCTCGCGCGGTCGCGTGTCATCGAAGCCGGTTATATCTCGCGTAATTTTCGCGATAAATCGGATACGCGCCACCTGCTGTGCGCGATTCAGTTTCGCGTTCAGCCACCCTCGGCATCCACCACCCATATCCTCGGTTGTCGTCGTCGTCGTCGTCGTCGCTGCCACTCCCCCGCCGCCACCCCTCTCCGCACAATTGTGACGGATGTCCGAGCAACACGACGAGAGGATATTTCGCGAAGAGTGAATCGTTGTTGTCGATGAGAGAATCGATCGTTCTTCGTGTCCCGATCAATTCCGAGAACGACTTTGAATTTTGGCGCGAGTGTGTGGTATAGGAGTAACTTCGCTCGAATAGATCGAGCGAAGTGTGATTATAATCGCATTTACGTTCTGCAGTGCGAATCGCGAACACATCTCGTACTATCATCGGGACCCTCGCATTTTGATCGTCGTCGTTTAGAATCCCGGAAGAACGCAATCGGGATATCGCTCGGTGATATTCGCCGCGTGTCGCGATCCGTTACAACCGTCGTGATTATTATCGTCATCGGCAGTTTGACGCGAAGGAAATCATCGAAGGAGTCGAACATATTTCACGCGGTGGCGGCGTCTCGAGTCGGGATTAAAACTGTCGAAGTTCTCTTGAGTGAAATAACCGGATTATCGAACTTGTTCGGCGAACTTTTTCTTCGAAGACTTGTCGCGTGTTTGAAAATCGACGTGACGTTGATATTCGAACGCGAGTTCGCGAGGCACGTTGGTGAAGGCTCGATTCGCGGTGGTCCATGAGATCGTCCGACAAATAATTACGTGAAGATCGTCGCATATGGGCGGACTCATTTTTTCCAGAAGCGTAACGGAACGCGAATGTTTGTATTCGCGCGGGGACGATCGTAGGATGTCGACGAGACTCTAACAACGGCAGCTTTACGACGGGACTCCAAGTATGTTACTGTCGACCACGAGACATCCATTGACGATCGGAAAAGGAGATGAACCGAGAGGCGTAACCGAGACGTCGATCTGTTGACCGGAGTAAAGTTGGTGCGCGTTTTCGAGATTTGAAATCGTATACGTATCGCGGTCACGCGTCATCGTGTGTCGTGCAAGAAAGTGTCGCGTATCGTCAGTGTCGTTGTTACGTACGATGATATGTGAAACGAGTGATACGGACGAGTGATAAGAGATTCATCCTTTTGGAGATCGCGAACAGTGTTTTTCATCATCTTCTTTACGTTACTTAATCCGCCTGTGTCAGTGTATGTGTGTGTGTGTGTCGTAAACGGACCTCCATCGCACAACCATGAGAGTCTCCAGGGTGATAGCGGGAAAGGTCTTCGGGATGTGGCTCTTCGTGCTCATCGCTGCCTGCTTCACACCGGTTGTAAAAGGTGCGTATTAATTTTTATGATATCGGAGCAAGGCTCCTTCCACGAATAAGACGATGTAAAAAAGAATGTATCTTTGCGTCTGGCAGCGTTTCGGCGAAATCGGGGGAATTGAGAGACCGCCGTAATTTCGGCGAGCCTTAATTCGAGATAAGACTTTCGTTAAGTGGCTATTCGCGAGACGACTTGAGTGAATAAAAAAAGACGGACGAATTCCATAATCATATTTCATCGAGTCGTTGCGTAGAGTGTCGTTTTTATATCAATTTTCACATAATTTCCGACGAAACAATTTCGTTTATATATATACAATTGAACAAAATTGAGTACAATATATACGAGTATAATTTTATCATATTTATCATTTTATTTTTGTAATTTTATTTTGATCAAAAGAGAAGATTAAAGCGAAAGAGAGGATTAAAAATAAAAGATAAAAAATTTTTTTTTTTTTTTTTTTAGTTTGAAATGATAAATATTTTATAGTATGTTATGTAAAATGAATAGAACTTTTAGAATGCAACATCTCTCATATGTAACGATCCAATAGAGGATCCAAAAGCAGAAAGCGTATCATATTTCCATCAAAAACAAAAAAAAAAGAATAGTAAATATACGCGCAAAATTGCGCAACTACGTTCAATCCGGAAACATTTTTTAAAATACAAACAACGCTGTCAGACGCTATCTGTTTTTCCCATGTGTTTTTAATATTCGATATTAAATATCTCGGTAACTAAGCGTTAAATTAAAAAATCTTCCTTAAGTAAAACGCGCTTGGAGTTAATTGAAGACATTATTGTGTGTGTGCGCTGTATATATTAAATCTTTATTATTTATTATGAAAGTTTAACACGCGTGCGGAAGAGCCTGTTGTCTTCGATCGCTTATAGCTCTCGCAGACTATTTACGCTCCGATATTTTAAGATCGAGTTTAAATTAATCGAAGAATATCCTTATTAAAACTAAGATGCTAGTAATTTCCTGGGCATTTCATATATCAAGTTAAATATATAAATTTGGCTTGAAGATGAGAAGATGAGATTTTTTTAATTTTTATTTTTCATAGGTAATTTTAGAAGAAAATAATTGCAATTTTTAAATTTAAAGAATAAGCTTGCGACAACGAAGAGAATTAAGAAAAAAAGTGTTGGATTTTGAAAACTTTTGAAATATTTATAAGACTCCTTTCTCTCTAAAACTCGATATTTCGTTGAAATTTCATCCTGTTAATTCTGACATGATGGTATAGCGGATTATGTTCGATAAATTTAACAATTATTACAAACAAATTTGTTACACAAACACGATAATTATTACTTATAAATATAAAAAATAGTTTCAAAATGAAATCTTTGGATATATTGTTATATTTATATTTTAATATTACAATTTATCTCTCTCAATTGATTCCGTATATATAATTTTATTAAAATATTATCAAAAATTCAGATATTTTGTTTCAACTTTTTCATCTCTGTTATGCTTAATTTACCGTTAATATATTTCTATATTACTGCTTCAGCTTCATTTCCGAAGCTGTTTAGCGACTAATGAATATGCGCTTATTCATCGATTCATTATACGCTGTATATGGATCTCATTATTTGTAGACACTGTTTATATATTATTGGACAAAAAAGTAAATGGACGTGTCTCGTCCATTAAAACGTAATGTTGTTTTGCATAATGTAGTTGCATTAAAAATATGATAACATCATTCGGCAGGCGCGAAATGCGGGAGTATAATGGGGAAAAAAGAGAGGAAAGCAAGGATGTTACATTATAAAATATGATTTAATTTTAAAATACCACGATGGTACCATACGAGACGGATCGTTTTCGTGCGGATATAATTCGTGATCTCGCGACGCTCTGTCGAAGAGGAAAATGACGGCATGAAAATAACAATAGGGCAAGCGCGCGCGCGCAAGAGAAATCGATATTGTAATGTGTTTTTCTATTAAACTACGCGAAAATGAAATTTTGCAAAAAGGAATGATGTACGAAACGAACGGCGGCATCGTACGCGCAATATTCTGTTGCATCTATTTCGCGCGTACTAATTTAATTGTGAATGGAAATCAATTTTTCGCGAAACTGAACGTATCGCAAAAAATTCTCAACATTAATCTGCTATTTGTATTTACGGATCTTTATACCTTTTTATCGGACTTTTTATTACGTAAAAGTCGACGATATTTTATCCCTTCGATCGCGCATTGATTTGTTCCGTTTAATAGTTTTTATATTTTTGTTTATTGCATAATGATATTATTTTCTTTCGTAATTATCTGTATATCATTGCATTGTGTACAGTGTGTGTTACAACAGCGGATCAAAGAAATATATTCTACTCACGCGTAATTCATATTTTCCTAATTGAACCGATTGTTTTTCAATGAGTATTATACGATTAACGTGCTCTCAAATTCCCGTTAATCAATGTTATATCTGTAATATTCTTTAATTTATTAATGCATAACACGTTTTTCATTAACGAAGAATCGCGCTGCTAATTAACTTAAAACCGTTCGTCATTACGTTAACCTTTGATGTACCAATATCATTTCAAAAAGATTCAATAAATAGTTTCATCAACCATAGATAATCAAAGATAGACCCGATAAATAAACACATTTTATTTTTATCTATATCATCATGCCGATCGACATACATTTTTTTTTTTCATTTATAAACATTTGTTGAAAATAATCACTATGCATTTTCCTCGTTAAAAATGTTACATATTCCATGAAAAACGGCTCTTGAAAGCTGAACCGAATTTGACCCAGTTTCGATAGCCTATGAGATAACACACATACACACACGCACGTGCTTTTAATTTGCGAAAACGGTTCAATTCCAAAAATCAAATAGCTCGATAATTGAATGCTGGATTAAAATATCGTTGAGGATAAAACGTACATGTTGCTTAAAGAGCAAGAGGTTTTATTATTGATATTCGATCTTTTCGGGATATTCCGTCTAGTTTTATGTAATATAATAACGCGGATATATCGTCAAAACTTTTATGTATATATATATATATATATATATCGCTCCATTCGCGTCTCATATATTCTTATAATTTTATATTATTTTTCTTGAAGTACTTGCGGATCCCATTATCGCTCGCAATTTTTTTTATTAAACAAGAGTGCAACAGTATATCAACTAAAGAACTACTTACTGTACGACAGCGCGTAGGACGATTTTTCCAATGCGACGAGGATAGAAATTTCCGCGAATGTAGAACTTGTGGGTTTAAAATTACGAATTTTACATGTCGAAAATTACATGTCATTCATAATGTAAATTGCGACATGTTATCGAAATATCCATACGCCGGCTAATTATTGCGCGGTTGCATAGATGGAAGTGCTACGGTCGGCGCGTTAAGCCGCATATCGCGGCATAAACAAAATTCTATAAAACGAAAGTACCGACATTAATATACGTAAATAAATGCGATATATCGATCATATAGATATATATAGATCAATAAATAAACTCATTCTTGAATGGATTTCAAATCGGTTCTCTGATCAAGCAAATTAATTACAAGCTTATATTTGCTTATTTAATCCTCTTCTTGGTTCGATATCCCGGTGTGATTAAGCTCCAAAACCTTCATATTAATTTTAATGTTAATCTTGGAATAAAATCCTTGCGTAACGAAGTCCTTAACATGTAATCGTATCGACATATTCTGCACGAGAACTCACGCGCGCACGCGTAGAAATTGTCGACGGACGAATCCTTAAAAGATGGTGTGTAAGGACTCGGGAAAAGTCTCTTGGATCTTAGCCAGATTCGATTGTTGTGCAGCCGCGATACGAGATTATACGCGATAGAGTTATAGGGACGGGGGAGGGGACGGGGTGTAACCGCGAACAGCAGCACGGAGGGAGAGAGGTAGGGTCATCTGTCTCGTTGAAAAAAAAAAAAAAGCAGAGAGCTCTCGTGAATCTCGTCTCATTCGTTATACGCGGATCGCTCCCTCGAATGCGGCTTGAATTGTGGATTCACCCGCGCGATTTTTCCTTCCCATTCCGCCCAGTCCGTAATATCGCGTAATTACGAACTTGAACTTTCGAGTAGCTGACGAGGGGTCGATCGATGGCGCGGCGCTTTCTCGTTCGCGAACTTTGAGAGCGAGCGAGCGGGCGCAGTTGCAAAACTGTAATTGCAGTCGTTTAGCTATGTTTCTTAATAAACTGATAATTCAGCCGAGGAGAATGTTAGCGGAGAGGAGTGCCAGCGAATCTGGCAACTGATTTGATCAGTAC